GATTTGTTGAAGTCCGTGATCTGCGTATTACAGCTCTCTTGCCACAATCACAAAAAAAATTGGAAGGCGCCGAGAAGGAAGACGCAGAAGACATCGGTGTTCGCTCTCTCTCTTTCTCTCTCGGTCGAACTTCTGTGATTTAGGGTTACAGTGGTCGAAATTTGGGGCAAATCGATTTTAAAGAGTCTTCACCCGATGTGGCAATTTTATTTTCCACGTCACGGCTCCAGTTTTGTATTATCTTAAACTGAGGCGCCACATCGGATAACAAAATGCCACGTCAAATTTTAATCTCGGGGTCGGATAAAATAGGACCATAAATGATGAAATTGACAAGTTATAGGACCAAAATTGAAAGTGGCCAATATAGGGGTGGTTTTTTGGACTGTGGCCAAGTTATAGGACCAAAAATGAAATTTTGCCTTATAAAGAGTTATGTTTTTTTTATATATTAAATAACCTGCACTAGGGCTCATTCATTCAGCAGATCACAAAATCTTTCTTTATGGCTATGAAAAAGCAGAAGCAGGCGGCAGAAAAAGCTGAGACACTATCTACAGTCATGGACGACAGAATATCCCAATTGCCAAAACCTATACTTCACCACATACTCTGTGCCCTCTCCCAAAAAGAAGCTGGCAGAACTTGTGTACTCTCCAAACAATGGCGCTACATAGGATTAACCCGCCCCATCCTCGAGTTGTTTCAAGGTTGGTTCAATTACAAAACACAACGATACTTTTTCTCCGTCGTCGAGTATTCCGAAAAATTGAAACAAAACTTTGTCTCGTTCGTCGATGGAACCCTACAAAGATACCTTGATCAAAACCTCTCCCTACACAAACTCCATCTCGACTTTTCGGACCCCAACTCACCACCAGTCGTCTCCCTTCTTGACAAATGGATCCCGATAATAGCCGCCCTCAACATAAAAGCTTTCAAACTCAACTTTCATAAATATACTCCGCCATATTACAACCTACCATCGGCAGTCTTCTTTTCCGAGTCCCTCGAAGAACTACACCTGAACAAATGCAGGCTGAGCCCAGTCGAGAGCGTGCGGTTCCAAAATCTGCGCACGCTCACCCTCGAACGGGTCCAAGTTGATGGCCGGACTTTTGAGACAAAAACGTTGGGATGCCCTTTGCTCAGGCGCCTGGTCATTAATGAGGGTTGGGAGTTGAGAAACATTTGGTTGAGTGAGGCGCCTGGGCTCAAGCACTTTGAGTTGTATGATTGCATCAATAGGGAATGGGGTAGCATCAAAATCGATGTCCCGAATCTCGAGACGGTCCGCATCAGGGGCCCATGGATTTGGTCTCACCACGAAAGCGCATTCTTGTTTTCTCGTCTCACGAGTTTGCATCTCTGTGATGTGATCCTGTCAAGCGAGTCAATCGACCTGTTATCGTTCGACTGCCCGACTCTTGAGAGCTTGGCCCTGGATAATTGCTCCGGTTTCGAGGAATTCCATCTTGCAAGTGATTCGGTCAAGCAGTTGACCATCTCGACAACCAAAAGATTGCTTAAAGGAGTTACGATTTGTGCCCCTAACATTCTCAATTTTATGATCATTTCCCCCCAGGTGCTGGATACATTCTCTTTCACGACCCCAACTTCCAAGGAGTGGGATTCAAATGTAATCCTCTATTTGTGGGAGGATGATCCTGATTTCAACGTCAATTCGTGGTTCCTTAAGCTGAGACGAATGCTCAAGCCACTAAGTGGGTCTCGGATTGATCTGATTCTGCAGATGTACCGCGGCTATCTTCTGGACGTGCGATGTGGTGCTGTTGATGGCAGTCATCTTCTCAGTGACGAGCCACCTGTGGTCGTGGAGAACTTTGAATTTAGAGATTCTGAATGTCGCATAGAATCTTGGTACTCGGACTTTATGAATGATTTGTTTCGTGTTTGTCGACCGAGGCACGTATGGGGTCATAGGCTCCTTTGCTTGCCGGAGGAGGCAAGGCACCAGAGGCTCTCAGAGTTTCAGTTCAACATGTTGCTTGCAAACATGAGCCTTGGGACCTTTTGGCGGCACGATGTGGAGCAAGTGCACGTGAAAACCGTCAATGGGAAAAAATGGCAGCTCGTGGAGTGGACGGACCTTTTAGAATTGGAACACAGGGTGCATCCCGGGGTAACATGCGTTGAGTTGAAATGGAGAGGTCAGAATTGCGAAACAGGACATATGGACGGACTTTTCCGGTTTTCTTTCACTCCAGTGGAAAGCCTATGCCTATTTGGTATGCCCATAATTAAGAAGAAATAAACAATAACTCACATATAAATCTAGGGTAGATTTTGTACGAAGCAATACTGATGCAGAAAGTGAGATAATGAATCAGCACCTTTGTTGAAGAATGTGCTTTTGATATTTTGATGGTAGGATCTTTATATTTGACTTTATGCTCGTGATGCCCACTGTTCTCTACCCAATGATTCTATCTCAATATATATGGCAAAAAGATTTTTTCTCAAAAAAAAAAGAAAAAAAAAAAAAAAAAAAAAAAAAAAGAAAAAAGTGAGTAGATGTGAAGCATCCTTGTGTCCATTTGCGGTCCAGATTCAATAACTGAGAAGTAATAAAATATACTACATTGCTGTCGAAAAGCAAGCGTAAATGACAGAAAAAGGAATTGTGTAGAGGAAAAATAGGCCCAGCAATCCCAAATATATTGCATCCTTTGTCTCGGAAGTTAGTCCAGACTTCCAATCACAGGTAAAATAAAATTATTTTCAGTTTACCATATTTTCATGACTTTGAGCTATCGCATATGATCACGGGACGACTAAGCTAGGTAATGTTTTCTCTGCTCAACATGTTCCATAATCAGCAAAAGAACTGGCAAGCCTTTAATCAATTCAATAAAAGAAGGAACTATTTTCTACGTTATACATTTTGTGAACGACCGAAATCTTGAGCAAAACACCAATCGTTTTGGTTACTTGGTTACTTAGCTACTATTTCCGTCGTCCTATTTCTCTAATTCTCAATCCTTTTGGTTACTCGGTTAAGTTAATATTGCGCTCTTAAGTCAATTGCTTTCAAGTCTCTTTAGTTTACTGAGTTAAAATCTCAAATCAACTAACTTGATTAGAATTTATAGGTCTAATTTCTCTTTTTAATTTGTGCATTTGCGACTAATTAGGCAATTGAACTACAAACCATCCTCCTTCGAGAAGACGGTCGGGATTGGATTTTCGTCCAAAGTGAGGACCCAGCCCTACTTTTTACGGCGCAATTTGGAGCAAGTGTTTGTGGAAGCT